GGCTGACCTTAAATTCTAGATCTTTACTGAATTCAGATTTCACCATCTGCCATGGTGAGATTCGAACTGATGTCTCAAGAATTTTATAAATAAAAACAGAAAGTGCTGGAGAAACTCAGCCTTTCTGGAGACAGAAACAAAGGGGACTGATCTGACTCTTCTTTGGAACACTTTCAAACACAGTACTGAAGAACAGTCATACCAGACTTGAATGGTTAACTCTGTTTCACTCTCCACACTTGCAGCCAGACCTGCTGAGTTTCTCCAGCAATTTCCATCTTATTTTCTGGACTCCAGCGTCCCCAGGATTTTTTTGTCATCCCCAGGTTTGTTTTTTATTCATTCATGGGACATAGGTATCTCTGGCTGGACCAGCGTTTATTGCCCAGAGGGCAGTTAAAAGTCAACCATGTTGCTGTGGGTCTGGAGTCACTTGTAGGCCAGACCAGGTAAGGATGACAGATTTCCTTCTCTGAAAGACATTAGTCTCTGGGTTACTAGTCCAGCGGCATTACCACTACCCCACCACCTTCCCCATCAACCTCTCATGCCAACCTATGACTCCCACCAACTGGTTCATGGTCCCTCCATTCCAACTCACGACCCCACCCACCCACTGCTGCCCCCTCAGCATGCCAACCATGCCCAGTGGCCCCACCATGCCAACTCATGTACCCCCCAACCAACTCACTCTCCCCTCATGTCACCCCATATTGCCAGACCATCTCTATAAACACACATTCAGCATCAGTGATAGCTGGACCTTAGGAACAATGTTGAGGTCAAACAACCTAATGCAGCTCTCGCCAATACACACTTGATACTGAGAAAAAGACTCCAGATCATGAAACACAATATTTTGCTTTTTATAATACTTTAACTATGCTCATCTGCTAGACATGAAAAAGGAAGGCAGCTTCATAATTTGTATTACTTAAAGGTTTTGCTCCATGGTTTGGCAAGGTACCAATGGAGTGTGCGTGTGGAAGAATGAAACGTGAATTGCAAGTCACTAGAGGGTCAGTCCTATTGTCAAACCAGTGGCTGACACCATCAGTTTGCTACATATTGAACAATATGTAGTTAAGGCAGAAATCCAACCCACTAAGGACTCAGTAGCATCATTAACTAAGCAAAGGTATCTCCAGTGGATCCAATATTTGTAACACTCATCTTTAAGGATTGTTATGTACAAAGTGGAAGCTGTGACAGACAAGCATTTCTCCATTAAACACCGTGAATCGCTCTCAGATATAATATATTAAATGCAGGCAAACGTACCCCTATATATTTTTCCGCTATTCAGGGTGTCAAGGAATTAATTGGACTGTCCGGTTGTAATGTATTACTCTACAGTCTGCACTAGCTCAAATTGTCTTCTGTTGTAACGTGATTTTTGCCAATCTGGAACTTTGCAAAACTGGTTTTGATTGTTGAAGGTGGGTTGATTGGTGCGAGTGTGGAGTCAGCAGATTTGGAAGTTTGCACAGAGAGCAGACTGAGTGTCAGGCCCCTTATTAATCAGCACAGGCTTTCTTTTTGGTTATCACCTCTCCAACTCCTTATCAGGCCTGAGCAGAGTCAAGGCCATTGACAAAACTGATTTATGGTTGGCCCAAGTTACGTGGCTTCGATTGGAGGATCTGATCTCCAGATAGCTCTCTCCTTGTCTTCGTCTCTGTTTCTCTGCGTCTCTCGTGCTCATTATCTCTCGTCATCAGCCAGCATATGTCAGATTTGGGTACATTACTCTCTTCAGGTTTTGGAAAACAATCGGGAAACCGGGTTTTGGGAATAACTTTTGTTAAGTTTTCAGTTGATGTGACATTGGCAAAGAGACAGTGACGGACAGGTGGCCCTGTCTTTGAACGAGAATCCCGGGGAACCAGTCCCATTCCAAGAGATTGTTGGTCAAGGTAGATGTGTCCTCAACGTGGCCAATCAGGTCAATTTATTAATGTGCAGTCCTGATAAGCGTATGGCAGGCAGTGAGAATGAGAGAGCTCCTGCTCACCCCCCACTTCGTGCAGATTGATGCCTCTCGAGCTGATGAACTGTTTTATGAAAAGTCCAGCTCTGGAAACAGACAAATGCACATATCTTTGTTCGCCTCCTGTGCAATTCAGGGGCGAGAAGAACAATGCAGGAGAACTAAAGACTTCGCGATAGTGATTAGTTGGGCAGAAAAATGGGGAAAGACTGCAGAACAGAGGGAGTTGGGACAGCGTGGAAGTAGGCCATTTGAGTCCACCAACCCTGCAAAGAGCATCCCTCTCTATCCCTGTAACCCTACATTTCCCACAACCAATCCACCTAACCTGCACATCTTTGGACTGTGGGAGGAAACCCACGCAGACACAGAAGAGAACGTGCAAACTCCACACAGAGAGTCAGCCAAGAGTGGAATTGAACCCAGGTCCCTGAAACAGTGAGACAATAGAGCTAACCACTGAACCACCCATGGCCCTCATGCATGAATCAAGTTAGCGTCCAATTTCAGCAGGTAATAGGGAAGGCAAATGGAATGTTTACTGTTATTGCAGTGGGAATGGAGTGTGAAAATAACCAATACTGATACAAGGCACTAATCAGACCACAGTTGGAACACTGTGAACAGTTTTGATCCTGTAGTGTCATTGGACACAGCCCAGAGAAGACCTGCCCTGGATATGGAGGAATTTTCTTATGAGGAGAGGTTAAGTGCGTTAGGTCTGAACTCATTGGAGTTTAGAGGAATGAGAGGTGACGTTATTAAACATACTAGATTCTTCGGGGACTTGGGAGGGTAGATGTGGAGAGATTGTTTCTCCTTGTGGGACAGTAGTGGTCCAGACAACAAAATCTCACAGTAGGGAATTGCTGTTTAAGGTAGGGATGAGGAAAATTCTTTTCTCTATAAGGGTAGTGAATCTGCGGTATTCTTTACTGCAGAGGGCTGACAGTGCTGGGTCATTAAGTATATTTAAGGCTGAGACAGACAGATTTTTTAATCAATAGAGGAATCAAGGGTTATGGGGAAAAGGCAGGAAAGTGGAGTGCAGGATTATCTAATCAGCCATGATCTCATTGAATGGTGGAGCTGACCCGATGGGCCACATGGCCTACTTCTGCTCCTTATGGCCTTATAGAAACCTGTCAGATGGTGTGTTTTATTTATTGTTGGGATGTGGGCATCTCTGGCAAGGTCAGCATTTACTGCCCATCCCTTATTGCCATGGAGAGAGGCGCTGGTGAGACACCTTTGTGACCTGCTTTAGTCTTACTGACATAGATAGTCCCAGAGCCCTGCCTCATGCAGAGGAGTATGACATGATGCAGATTGTGAGGAACAGTATGGAAAGACAGTACAGTGGGGGAGTCACTGATTTACGAACATCCAACTAACGAGCGCTCATACTCACAAACACAATCGCACACAGAGATGTAATCTTAAAGACCTGGCTTAACGAACATTTCCTGTGCTTATAAACAACTGCTTTGTATTGTGCTGTGTTCCAACTTACGTACAAATTGACTTCTGAACAGACTGCAGAATGGAAGAGATTGCCTGTATCCTAAACACAGCATCGGAAAAGTATAAATGAGTAAAAAGACCTAAGCTTCAATGTCAGCAAACCCTAAAGGTAGCAGGGCAACATGCTAAAAGCACATGGTTTAGTTGGATTAAATAGAAGCACAGGTATATAAACATGAAGAAAACATGCTAGAATAGAAATAAGTCAGGTTCTGCTTCAATTAGACAGTTCTAGGCCCCACCGTACAGGAATATTTCAAGGGTACAGAGGAGGTTTAATTGTTGTGAGAATGTCAGTGCTATTCTCCTTGGATCTGAAAAGATGAGGTGGTGGCCCATTACTCAAAGAGATGGGTGGTTTTGGTGAGGAAAAGTCATTTCCCCTAGCCAGTGTGTCAATGACAGAAATGATCAAAAGTCCTGGAAAATGGTCTAGAGATGCAATGAGAAGATCTTCTTTACTCAGAGAGTTGTCAGGAACTGGAACCACTCGAGCTGGAAAGGTAGACAAGGCAGATACCAAGAGTAATTTTAAAAGGGAATCAGACAGGGACTCAGCAATGAGGAATTGACAAGGTTATATACAGAGAGCAGGGCTGTGGTACAATGCACAGATGCTTTTTCACAGACCTGACGTGCTGACTGGCTTCAATCTGTGATGGATATTTCTAGGATTCTATGAACATCATCCCAAGTCAAATTATCTGGGCACATTTGATAATTGCCTACTGCGTCTGCCTGTAGGAAAACCGTGTCTCCATGATTTGGCTGCACTGATCTCTATACTCAATTCTCTTAGCTGGAGTCTTGTAGGATGAGGATTTGAGTTGTGTAATTGATGTTCTGTTGAAGAAGATCTTTTACATTTACATAGAAATTTAAAACATTGCAGAGGGAGTGAATTATTGTTGAAGTGAAGGTGCTTTCAACTTGTGTTGCACAAAATAATACAGATGTGTGTGTGTGAGAGAGAGAGAGTGAACCAGCATATGTATTTGTGTGTGACTGTACCTGTGTGCATATCTGTGCAAGTGTGTGTGTTGTGTGTAGGTATGTCTGTGCATGTGAACATGTCTGTGTGTGGGTATGTGTGTCTTTGTATGTTTGCATGTGGCTGAGTGTGTACATCATCTGGGTGTGTGTGTGTGTGTGTGTGTGTGTGTGTGTGTGTGTTTGTCTATCTGTCCATGTCTAGAAACTGCACAGAAAAGCAGATCTTGTGTTTTTATAAAAAGTGATACTACTGTGCAGGATGGAGTCTCAGGTAAAAGAGTGATCAGTTTGGGATTGGGTTGCGATGAAGTTTTGCCCTTCTAAAAATGACAATGCTCATTGAAGGTGGTGGAAGAGTTTGATGAACATTTGGAAGGAAATTAATGTTGCCGGTGTAAGAGGACTCGAGGGGAAAGCAGGGCTTTGGAATGATAGCTGTTTGTTTGGGTAAGGTGGACAAGAGATGTTGTAACAAGTGATGGTCTTCCTTCAGGAATCGATGACCCCACGCAGCATGGCCGTGGACTGGCACTGGCAGACTTTAACCGAGATGGGAAAGTGGACATAGTCTATGGCAACTGGATGGGACCACACCGCTTCTACCTGCAGACCAGTGTGAATGGAAGGGTCCAATTTAGGGTAAGAACCTATGATTGTTTCACAAAGTCTTTTAACTGCGAAATAAATATGCAAGGATCCAGGTTCAGGTCTTACTCCAGAGCTGGAGAATAAAGGTTAAGACTCCAGTGCAGTGCTGGAGGTCCTGTTTTCCAATGAGACATTCAACTGAGACCCTTCTAGGTGCCTGGATGGCTGTAAAACATCCCATGGTATTATTTTGAAGAACATTAGGAGAGTTACCCCCACTGTCCTGGCCAATATTTATAGAATCATAGAACCCCTACAATGCGGAAAGAGGCCATTCAGCCCATCAAGTCTGCACCAACCCTCTGAAGAGCATCCCAACCTATCCCTGTAACCTGCATTTACTATAACGAATCCACCTAGCCTGCATGTCCATGTATACCACAGGGCAATTTAGCATGGCCAATGCACTATTGATCCCTCAGCTAGCCCCTCAAAAACAGGTTGGCTTGTCTCACTGCTATTTATGGAAGTGTGCAGTGTGCAAAATAAGCTGCTGGTCTCCTACATTATATGATTCCTCTTCAAAATTACTTCAATGGCTGTAAATCACTTTGAGACATCACACGGCCACAAATATCATTATGTAAAGAGAAGTCTTAATTTTTCTTTTTAAAACTTAGTTGAGTGAGAGTTGTTATTTGTTGCAGTCTATGTAAAAGCATTGACTAGTTTGTAGGACAACAGGAGAGGTGGTGGCATAATGTGACTGGAGATAGTTTCCTAATGAAATTGTTCAGAGCATTACGACACACCAGTGGAATTTGAACCCAGGCCTCCTGGCTCAGAGGCAGTGACACTACCACAGCACCACAAGATCACCTAGTGTCACCTGGTTAGTAATCCAGGCTGCGTATTACCCCATTGAAGTCAGATGGGGTGTGAACCAGGTCTAAAGAAAAGTGATCATTAGAATTTTAGCAAGCACTTGGTCACCGGCCTAAAATATTGATGTTGACATTTTTCTGTTTACACTTTTGACCAGTACCTTGGGATGTTCCAATTAAAACTGGCAAACAACAACAACTCTTTCTTTTAAATATCACGTTTAATGTTGCAAAACACTCCTAGATGTTTCACAGCAGTGTATTCATAATAACATTAGATTAAGCCACGCAAGGAGATGTTAAAGGGGTAAATTTTAAGGATGATCTTCAAGGCAGAGAAAGAGACAGAGTGGGTTGAGAGGGGTTGGGATTGGTGGATCTTAGTGCTCGGAGGCCACACAGTCAAAGGCATAGTCATCAGTGGTGGGACAATTAAAATCTGGCCCATCCCAAAGAGCAGAAGCGAAGGGGTCCAGAGATCAAGGCGATGGTGACATAGAGGTAACATCACTGGTCTCGTAATCCAGAGACCCAGGCTAATATACAGAAGTTTTGGGTCCAAATCCCATCAGTAATGATGACTGTGATGCAAATATTGTAAAAAAAGAAGTCTGGTTCTCTAATATCCTTGAGGGAATGAAATCTGTTGACCTTTCTCACTCTGCTCTCAATCTCACTCCTGATCCACAGCAATGTCTCTTAAATACCATTGGAAATGGCCTGGAGAGCTAATCATTTCAAAGGCAATTAGAGTTGGGCAACAAAATATGCCAACATTCTAAGTCAGAATTATTTAAAAAGGTGGCATCAGGAAACACTTCTTCACATGAAATATTGTGAAAATCTGGATCTCTCTCCCTGAGAAATATGTAAAACTGGGATCAATTGAGAATATAAAAATTGAAATGGGTAGGCCCTTGTTAGACAAGGGGATTAAGTGTCAGGTATAGCCCCATTACCCACACGTTAGTCCTTGTAACATACACTATAAATATTGGGTTCTAATTGAGATCAGAAATCACACAACACCAGATTATAGTCCAAAAGGTTTATTTGAAATCACAAGCTTTCGGAGTGATGGTCCTTCATCAGGTGCAGTGGAGGGAAGCACACAGGCACAAGGTGACTTCTGACCTTGTCCACTCCAGTCCAACACTGGTACCTCCACAACATGGATTCTAATTGAGACAGATGGTCTTGTAATTTGTTCACAAAACTGACTACATACACTCTTATAAGATCTCAGACTTACACATATTTGGGTTTGATACCCATTGACTACCTATGGTGAGGATACTGTAACTTCAGGTAGTCTGCTGTTATTACTTCAGCTACTGAAGGGCAAGTGGGTGCTTTTGTACACAGTGTGTTGCCAAAAAACTGACTGGTCTGGAATCTATACAGTAATACAAGCGTGATGGGACTAGAGTGAGGGAATGGAGTTAAGAGACTGATCAGGCATGATCAGATTGATTGGTGGATCAGGATCAAGGAGCTGGTTGGCCACTTGTTTCTATGTTCCTTTAAATGATAACCTTCAGCGGATGTTCATGAGAGGGTTCAGAGGCAGAAAAAAGACATTTAAAGTTCATGCTATTAAACTCTGTCAGATACATCAAAGCTTTATGAAGGCAATTTGTGATCAGCTCAGGTTTGTTTTAAATTAATGATTGGACGACCACCTTTGAAGTCTTCGTACAAAAACCGCAGCTTTTATCATCGTTCCACCGGTCCCTCTGATGCTGTATGGCAGAAGATGCTCAGTGAACATAAATGGCGCAATCTCAAATTGAAAATTGGTGGTTGGTTAACTTGGTCCATTATCAGGAGGATTAAAAGTAGATAATTGCATCTATTTTAAGCCTGAATTACAACTCTAAGTGCAGATGAAAACAATAAGCTGTACTCAGTTAGCTGAGCAGCAATTTCCATCCCATCTTTCACGTTTGAATTAGAATTAGAATTAGGTTTATTGTCACGTGTACTCAAGCACTGGGTACAGGAGTACAGTGAGGAGTGTACAATGTCACTATCCCTGGCACCATCTTGGGTACAAAGGTACCTAGGTACAAAATCTTAAGTACAAAGCAGAAGAATAAAGAAATAAGTTAAAAACTCAGCGTTACAGCCCTTTTTTGAGCCATGGGCCTGCAGTCACTCCACACCTGGGCTTTCCACATGAGAGCTTGTTGTCCCCTGCGCTGGGCTGAGTCCCTCACTGCTGACTGGTGTCTGTACTCACCATCCGCTCCTCTGCCAACCATCAAAATCCCACCAGATCCAGCCACTGCCACTCTCCAGACTCCACTCTCCATACGCCGCTCTCCATACGCCGCTCTCCATATGCCACTATCCAGACGCCGCTCTCCATACGCCGCTCTCCATATGCCACTATCCAGACGCCGCTCTCTATACGCCGCTCTCTATACGCTGCTCTCCATACGCCACTCTCCAGACTCCACACTCCATACGCCACTCTCCATACGCCACACTCCATACGCCGCTCTCCAGACGCCGCTCTCCATACGCTGCTCTCCATACGCCACTCTCCATACGCCACTCTCCATACGCCACTCTCCAGACTCCACTCTCCATACGCCGCTCTCCATACGCCACTCTCCAGACTCCACTCTCCATACGCTGCTCTCCATACGCCACCCTCCAGACTCCACTCTCCATACACCACTCTCCAGACTCCACACTCCATACGCCGATCTCCATACGCCGCTCTCCATACGCCGCTCTCCATACGCGACTCTCCATACGCCACTCTCCATACGCCACTCTCCATACGCCACACTCCATATGCCGCTCTCCATACGCCACTCTCCAGACTCCACACTCCATATGCCGCTCTCCATACGCCACACTCCATACGCCACACTCCATACGCCACACTCCATACGCCACACTCCATACGCCACACTCCATACGCCACACTCCAGATGCCACACTCCAGATGCCACTCTCCAGACTCCACACTCCATACACCACACTGCAGACTCCACACCCTATACGCCACACTCCAGACTCCACACTCTTTATGCCACACTCCGGACCCCACACTCCGGACCCCACACTCCGGACCCCACACTCTTTCCTCCACACTCTTTCCTCCACACTCCCGACTCCACATGCCAGACTCCAGACTCTGGACTCCAATGCCGTCCTCGCCACTGCCTCCACGACTGAACTCTCTCCAGAGTAAGTTAAAAGAAAACCAACCTACAAAACCAGAATAAACAGAGAAAAATTGAGTAATGAAGGAAAAAGAAAGGAAAAGCAGATGGAATGGATGAGCCCTGGGCTCAAGATTCCAGATGCTGCTGACTCTGCTGCCGCCATCTCAACATATAAATCAAGAGTTTTGTATTGAGGGAGAGTGGTGTATTAATTATAATTCTGCATAAAGTAACAGAATGGCAAGGGGTTTAACCCGTTGTAATTTTGTACAGCGGAGCTGGTGCTGTCTTGATGCACCAATAAGTCCTCCTTCTGTGTCATAAACCTTTAACTCTATAATGGGGTGGGGTTTAATCCATTCTGTAGGGACTGGCACAGAATGGGAATGGCTATCATTATGACTTGGAATGATGAGAGATTACAGGTCCTTTTAAATCTCTGCAAACAGAAAGACAATGAGACATTCGAAATGTAGATCCTGAGTTCACAAAGGGGCATATCCCTACTTCAGCAACTCACCCAGACTCCTCCGACAGCACCTTGCAAACCCCTGACCTCTGCCACCAGAAGGGCAAAGGCAGCAGATGCCTGGGAGAACCATCACCTCCAGGTTCTCCTCTGAGCCTCACACCATCCTGTCTCTCAAATATTTCTTCACTGTCACTGGGTCAACATCCTGGAACACCCTCGCTAACAGCAATCTGGGTGTGCCAACACCCATGGGTGACAGCAGTTCATCAAAGTGGCTCAGCTTCGTGAGGGCAATTAGTGAATTGGCAGTGAACGCTGATGTTGTTATGAAAGGACGTCCCATAAAAGGTCAAAATAAGACAATGCTTTGCTTGGATTATTGACATAGCTTTAGCACCAATATAACATTATCCATCTTAACCCACTGCAAAACATGCATTGGACACAAAGTGGGCAAGAGAATTATACACATTTAAGAGTTTAATAGAATCTGCCCTCAAAGGATAGATGGAG